TTCTTTCAGTTGCCATCATTCCTCTTTGCTGCATATAATATAGCTGTAGGACTTCTGTATTATCAGCAGAAGCACCTTTACTTGCCCTTAGGTATCCTTAGAAGAGCGATACTCGTGAGCCTTTCATGGTGGATACAATCCACACTAGAGCAGAGCTGCCACACCTAGCAGGCACGCTCTGAGCACAACTCATATTAATGGAATGGGTTGGGCATCCAGTAAAATGCCCAGTAACATTTCCTAAAACACAGGGACTGGCAGCACTGAGAGGTTTTTGCAATAGTTTCGTGGTTAAAGCTCTTACTCAGAAACAATCTGATAGAAGCAACCTGTCCCACCCTCCAGACATGCATAAAGTAGTGCTAGGGAAATGATCCCCTTACATCTTTATTTAAGAACTTAGGCCACTGGAGTGGGATAAATTGTGCCATTATAAGGCAAAGGAAAATTCACAATTCTGGAAAAAATAAGTAAGGAGAAAGGAATGTGGTTGCATGATCCTGACTGGGCATACTGTGTTTCAATTCCTGAAGTCAAGTTTCTTATCTTTTTATGAATGATATAATTAAAATGTGGGTGCTAGGTAAATGTTATCAGACTTTGAGATTTGCCTTTCCAGGAAAACACCTATTGATTGAGTTATAAAACACTGTTATTTATGGCCTCATTCCTTTTTCTACAGGTGAACCTCTGGTACCAAGAGTTTGCTGTCAGTCAATCCTCACATGCACCTGAAGAAAGGTAATTGAGCAAGACTCCTGTTTAAACATGATACTGGTCTAGTTATTATGCATTTATATAAACACAGGCTTGGATCTGGCCTATTGCAAATGGCAAACCATTGCACACATCCCAGTTCTGTTAGTGGGCCAAGATGATATACATATGAGTGAAAATTCTCGTGTACTGAATAAAGTAATAAGCCTTGGAAAGGGTTAGAAGTTCAAGACAGTCTCACATTGAAAGTTTTGTATTTGCTACCCTTCTGTAATTCTCTGTGAATTGTGCAAACTTTAAGCTCACTCTTCTGAAAGATCTATTTCTTAGTTAAAATGGAATTTAGACACTATAAATTGAATGATGCTGTGTGCATATTTTTAAAATAAAATGTAGACCTTCTCTGTCTAAAACAATATTTTTAACGTTTTAATTACTTATTTTGTGTCATGTTAGAAATAATTACTTTCCTCAGTTTTAATTCACTTATCTTAACAGCTCTTTGAAACAGGATATAGCAGGCTATGTCTGAATTCTACCCTGGGATTGAATGCAGAATTTAGGCAGGATGACCACTTTTAATACAATGGAAACATGCTAAGACAAGATAATGCTTCAAGCTGCATGTGCAAAACAAAGAATCTATGTAATTTCAATTTTCAAGCCACTAAATTTGTCTCTGAGAATCTCAAATAAATAAAAATAAAAAGCAAATTATTCAATCAGGCAACTAAATACCCATCTAAATCTGATCACTAGAAAATTCTTTTGATATGATGAAAATTATTATTTCTACTTCATTCCTGTGTTGGACATGGGTCACAATTTTACACTATTTTAGAAGGTCTTTTATATCTTTCAAAAATAATTAAAAACAAGTTCTAGAGAAATGATGGATAATTAACAAATTCTATCTGTATTGGACTATTCTACTAAAAAATACAATCACTTCCCTGGTTTTTGTTAACCTTTCATTAATAAATTTCCTCCACATCTAAGGAGTAAACGTTTTTATTCTGTTCATGTTAGAAGTTTCATAGACATTTTTGATTTATAAAAAAATTCTCAAGGGATTTGACTTCAGTGCTGAGAAAATGCAGAAAAACTACTTCATAATTGGATATCTTTGAGTAGGAGTTTGAAATAGTAATTTACTTTTTTTATTTTAATTTTGTAAAATTTTTGCTTCTCAGGCTAAACATAAATCATATCTATGAATCCCACACACTACTTTCACCAACCAAAAGGATGGATTCTTACTGTTTAACAGTCCATGGTGCCACATTCAAAAACATGTGAACAATTTAAACATATGCAAGCTTGAGAGCCTGCAAAGGAATATAACAATATGATATAATGGTATAATAATTTTAAGTGGACTTTTTTAGCAAGACAGTCCACAGCTTTGTCTTTCTTAGTAATTCATTATTATTCATCAGAGAAGCTTCTTGTCCTAAGGCAAAAGCTTGACTTAGTTGAAGTCAGTAGCAAAACTCCCACCTACATCAGTGAGATAGAGATAGCATCTCTGGAGCAGTGTTCATTAAATTATTGTTTTAAAGAATAATAAAGAATAATCATAGTTTTTTTCCCAGTGAAATTTACCCCCAGAAGGCAGTTAATTGCTTTACTTACTAGTGGAATTTTAAGTTTCAAGGCTGTATATCATAAAAAAGCTTGAAACTTCAATGTGAAATAAGTGATTACATAGTTTGGCATAATTGCAATATGTCACAAAAAGACAAGCTGTTAAAAACTGCATTAGAGCTGGCAAAGTGAACACCTCTGAAGTACAACCAACGTGGTGTCATGCTTGGAACAGCAACACATATGTTCCAGAACATAGATTGCATCAGAATAGAAGAGGAGTTTCTTTGTCAAAGAAAGATATCATCTGATATTCTACCTACACACAACAAAAATTATTTATTGTTGGTTGTGGTATTTGTATTAAGTACATTCAGTACAGGAGAGTTCATGGTGACATAGATCTCACAAAAAAAAAAGGAAGCAAGCAATAGGAAGCAGAAATATTTGACCTGGGGCTGATTTCAGACAACAACTGCTGTTACCACTGCTCTGTGTTTTGTGTAGCTGGTAACTGCACTGCACATCCCCCTTATAAAAACATTTTTTCATTGGTGCATCAGCCTGTCAGCAATATGGGAGGGATGAGTGCCATTGGGAAATGCTGCTTCCACTGGTGTCTCTCAAACTCCTTTTGTACTATTACCTAAAATTATATAAAATTACTTTGACTAAACAAGTCAGCCTTAAAATTAATTTGTCTTTCCTGGAGTTATGACTTCGCCAGCAACTGTCCCAGTAATATCTCTCATTCTCTTGAGTCTTTTGTGATCAGCTCTTAAACACAGACCACTCTTGAGTGGGTGCTTTCTCACTCTTGGTGCTTATCAGCTGACTCTCAGTGGTCATAATCAACCTATGCTTTTGCAGGCTACACGTGTGTAGCAATTTCATGTTCTGTTTAGTTTTTAGGCTTCCAGAGGTATCCCAGGTGACCTTGCAGCCTTTCACATTCATCTGTGGATGATTTCTAGACGTGTCAACAGAAAGTCACATCTAGAATGATGCAAAATGGACCTCTCATTTCACTGCTAACCTTTTCCATCTATACTCTCCTGAGTGTCTAGAAGCAACCTACTATGCACACTGAAGAAACCTGGTTATTAGCCAGCACTTTCAGACATGAATGTGCCAATTCTGGTTACTGTAAATAACACATAATTACTATAGCATTTCAGATAGCACACCATATTGGCTGACTTCTAAAACTGACTGGGAAACAGCACGACAGGAAGCAGTTGCAACATGCCTCATACACCACAGCTCATCTGAAACAGACTTTGAGGATTTGCAAGGCTGGGCATTCAAAGGAGCTTAAGGCTTTTCACTCATCTGACCAGACCGCAAAGAAAAGCACTGTCTTAGGAGTTTTTCCAAAACAAGCAGTTCCCTTGAGATTGAGACTGCAGAGTTTAGACATCAAGTATAAAATCACACATTCTTTTAGGGTTATTACCTTGCTTTTTCTGTCCAAAACACTTGAGGAGCAACATCAATCAGATATAAAGGTGCCATCTAGACCTACCGGATCTATCTTGTTTTCCTTTGTGGCTTCTTAAGTTGATTTATTCTGTTTTTCTGTGTATTTAGCCATTTAGCCAAAAGGGTTTGCTTTTGTCAATTTGTGTCTCCTGGTCTTAAAAACCTCCTTTATTTTTCTCCTTAAAAATATGTGATAGCAAATCTTAGAGCAGTTTTCTCTCCCATTACTCAGTCCATTACTGCAGCTGACACTATAAAGAGCATTATAGGCTTGAACACTCACACACACAAGCTCACAGATCCTAAAAGATGGGTGCAGGTTCCTTTTAATTTCAAGAACATAGGTGGTTAGTCTACACTGAACAGAAATTACATTTATATAAATAAAATCATGTAGGGTGATTGTTCACAGTCTGTGGTCCTTGTATGACCAGTCATCAAGGAAATAAATGCTCTGAAATAACCTCATATATTCAGAATATTCTTAGCCACAAACCTGACAATTTGTTGTGTACTGGGCCACAATAAATGTAAACTTTGGATGGTTGTTCCAAAAGGTTCATTAATTTCTGCTGTGTAGAATGTCTACTGCTCTTTAAGTGAAAGAGACATTTTTATATTTTTACGCTTTATATTTTACATTTCCTTAATGAAATCACATTCAAGTCTTAAACTGAATTAGTGTTAATTTAGCAATTAAATGGGATGAAAATTCTATTGAACAGTGTTTTTATGTGAAAACTATTCACATCAGGACTGTTTTGAAGCTAAGACAGGAAACTTTTAGGAATACTATATAGATCTTCATAGGAGTTTTACTTGAGATGAGAAAATAAATATTGAATAAAAGTTATAGCTTCCACATTTATTAAATCGTCTGTCATTTCCACTATACATATGAGAATAACTTTCCCCCAGCTTTATGATGCTACAGGAAGGCTGTAGCTGTAGAATAAACCAATATGTAAGTTAAGTTGCAACTGTCCAGTATTTCTGACAGTACTCTTCTCAATTCAACAGCTAACTCCTCTTCATCGTTCTCAGAACACCTTATTTGCACATAAATAAATGTCTGTTCATTTAGAAATGGCTTCATAAAGCAGTTCTGTGACATCATAGCAATGTCCTCTCTGTCTGCAGGATAAAGCCAGTATACCTTTTACAAGCATTTTCTCAGTTGTAAAAGGCTTGGGAAGGTAATATTCAACCTGGTGACCAAATGGGCGGGTAAAAATAAGTGGAATACCGTTATGCAAGATATGCTGGCTGAAAAGAACATTATTAGACTTTCATGTCACAGTAGATACCTCAAACAATGAGTTAAGAACTGTATTGAGAAGCCTCATAGTTTCATAGGTGAGAAGAAGGAAACATGCTGGGAGGCCACACAGAAGGTGGTGAAATCAATGTTCTATGTAAGCCAAGGGGAGCCTATTGATGAAGTCTTCTTGCTCCTGCTACGGGAATCATTGCACTCTCAGGCTTTCATTCTGCAACAACAACAACAAATGAGGAGCAGGCTCAATAGATTTTTTTGCCTCAGACTTCACTGGCCACCTCTCTTCCCAAATCTCTCAAGTGGATGGACAGAAAGATGATGACTGGGGTGGCAGAGTTCCTCTGACTGTAAGTAAAGAGCAGGTACATGGCCCCCTGAGGAACCTTAATGCACTGTGGGACCTGATGGGATGCCCCCAAATTTCTGAAGGAATCAGCTGAGGTAGTTGCCAAGCCATTCTCCATGATATTTGAAAAGATATCATGACACTCAGGGGAAGTCCCAGATGACTGGAAAAAAAGAAATATTGTACCTATCTTTAAAAAGGATAAAAAGAGGATCTTGAAAACTACTGCCCTGTCAGCCCCCTTCTGTGCCTGGGAAGGTCATGGAGCAGATCTTCCTAGAAGCTCTGCTAAGGCACACAGGGGACAGGGAGGTGGTTTGAGAGAGCCAGCACGGCTTCACTCAGGGCAAGCCCTGTCTGACCAACCCTGTGGCCTTCTGTGATGGGGTGGCTCTGTCAGTGGGCAGGGGAAGGGCTACAGATGTCATTTATGTGGACTTCTGTGAAGCCTTTGACAGGTTTCCTCCTAACATCGTTCTCGCTAAATTGGAGAGAGAAGGATTTGCTGGGTGAACTGTTAGATGGATTAGAAATTGTTTGGAAGGTCACATGCAAAGGGTAGTGGTCAATAGCTCAGAGTCCTGATGGACATCAGTGACAAGTGGTGTCCCTCAGCAATCTGTTTTGGGACCAGTGTTATTTAATGTCTCCATCAAAGACATAAACAAAGAGACTGACTGCACCCTCAGCAGCTTTGCAGATGACACCAAGCTGGAGTTGACACGCCTGAAGGGTGGGGTACCCTCCAGGGGGACCTGGATAAGATCAAGAAATGGGCCCATGAGGTTTAATGAGACCAAGAACAAAGTGCTGAGGAAAGCCCTGGTATCAGTACAGGTTTGGGGACGAAGAAGCCCTGTTGACAAAGACTTGGGGTGTTGGTGGGTGAGGGGCTGGATATGGGTTGGAAATGTGCACTTGAAGCCCAGAAAGCCAAAGCCCAGTGTCCCAGGCTGCATCAAAAGCAGCATGGCCAGCAGGGTGAGGAATGGGATTCTGTCCCTCTGTTCTGCTTTCATGACACCCCAGCTGCAGTGCTGCATCCAGGCATGCCCAGCACAAGGAGGACAAGGACCTGTTGGGATGAATCCAGAGGAGGAACACCAAGGTGGGTGGATGGATAGAGCATCTCTCCTACAATGGAAGACTGAGATAATTGGGCTTTTTCAGCCTGAAAAAGAGAAGGCTTTGACCTGACCTAATCAGAGCCCTCCAGTGCTGTGTTTACAAGGGCATGTAGTGACAGGACAATGGGGAGTGACTTTAAACTGAAAGAGAACAGGTTTATATTAGATATTAGATACAAATTCTTTACTGTGAGGGTGGTGAGGCACTGAAACAGGTTGCTCAGAGAATCTTTGAATATCCCATCCCTCGAAGTGTTTAAGGTCAGATTGAATGCAACTCTGAACAACCTGACCTAGTGAAAGTCATACCTGTCCAAAACAGGGACGTTGGAACTGGGTGATTTATAAGGTCCTTTCCAACCTAGGCCATTCTAAGATTCTGTAAATAAAAACACTTTCTATGCTCAATGGAGGCATTTCCAACTTGCAAATATTTGGTATACTGTTGCTATATGTTGGCATCCTATCACATTCAGTATTCTAAAGATGACAAATAGTTACCACATTCATGTCCATATCAATTAACAACACAGAACTATGGCCCTATACTTTAGATACTTGAAATTATAAATTGCTAATACAGGTAACAGAGTATAATTGGAACGTTCCTTGGTGTGAAATGGTGATGTCTTCCTTTTTTGTCCCTTGTACCTGTAAATCATTCCAGATAACACATCTTAAAACTGAAGTGACAGGACTGACGAACAAATTCACACAGACTTAGTGTAACACTTCACACTATATCCCATTGAGTGTTGCAATATATGTCAATTAATATTGCTTCTTTACCTTACAATAGTTTGAACACATTTTGTTCCTTCCAAATTATTTTGAGAATTCTTTTATTTAATAGAAATAAAAATCTGAGACTATCAATTGTCTTTTAAATATCTAGTATGAGGTAATAACTTATCCAGGTGTCAATTCTGAGATTTTCCAAAATAGTTTTTCTAAAATAAGTAGGATTTTAAGGACAGGTTGGTTCATGACAGTTTTTAAAGGCAGCTATTGTAGCACTTAAAAGAACTTGCTTTTCTTTTCTCTCAATATATATTTAAGTATTTTATGTAACAGTTTTGGTTTTTTTTAACTTCAAACAGATATTCACTAACTGGTGTAAAAGCATTGGTAGACCATGATTTGAAAATCTGAACACTCCATAACTGGCATATAAAATTCTCAGCAAAGACTTAATAGAAAAAACTTGTAATGAGGTTTCTTCTAATGTGGATCCCCTTTCCTTAGAAGATAAACCACAAGGATGACTAGTATAAAAAGAAGTGTTGTAAAAGTCTAATTTATGTTATAAAATAATGGTTAAAAACCAAAATAGTATACATTAAAATTAGTTATTTATTTACTAATTTTCAAGGCTGTAACTTATCTCCTCAAAAGAAGGAGAAGCCCAAAGGAATGGACCCATGGAAGAAAAACAAAATATTTAAATTCTATTTAAGAACAGAGTCTTTATTCTCTGCAGGAATTATGAGAACTTTTAACAGTCTACTTCATTAGAATTGCTTCTAATATTATTTCAAGCCAGAACTCTTTGTTCCTAAGATCATCTCGGGGTTTTTCTCTGTAAAAACTAGTTTTACAATCCCATATATATTTGCTAGCCAAGATCACATCATGTAATGCATAATTATTATAAGTGATTTCTAAGGAGAGATAGCTGAATTATAGAACATTTAAGAAGTAGACACAATAGGAACAGCTACATCAATACTTAACTGAGCATAAATAATGTTTTTCAGGCTACAGTAGCAAAGCGAAAATATCAGGAGCGAAGGTGTGCACTGGGCACCCTCTCCAAAAGAAAACAGCAGAACTCTACCTCAGCCTCTGGGAAAACTCTTTAAACCACAATGTAGTATCACTTGTTGGAGCATATAATCTGCTGAGACGAGAGTTCAACTCTCATCCTATGTACACAGGATAAAATACAGGAAATTGAGTGTATTGTTACTACAACTTAGAAGTGAATGTCATAAAAAACACTGAGAAGATTTCCTCATTAGCTTACTTGAACATACTTTTAACAAGCAATGTACAAACGAAGTATTTTTCCCTATTTCTGCATTTATTATTAACATTTTATTATTTATTTTTTTAAAATACTAATTATTTTAAATGAGGACAAGTACTTCTAACCTTTTTTCTATAACTGATGGACTATAAATTCTATCACGAAATGGCATTTCTTATTTTACTACTTATAAACATTGGTTGGTTAACATTGCTTATATGTTTGCATAAAAACAAGATTTCTCTGCACAAAAATACTTCTATTAATTTTATTGACTTATCATTTTTACAGCTGTCATTGACACTGACTTGCTCTACAACTTTGATTTTTCAGTGTCTCATGGTTCTAATGATAACCAGAGGGACTAATTTGAGCAACAGTTTTAAATTAGTGGAAACATTCCACACTAAGTAAGCAATTAATAGAAATATTCTCTTCCTGTAATATAAAGTATTAACCATTCTAAAAATCCTCAACATGTATAAACAAGAAAAGAAAAAGTATTTTGATAGTTTTACAAGTGCTTTAAAATGCATTTCTCTGAAATTTTTGCACAAATAGTAATGGTTTGAATAAACATTGAGATACTATAATAATTAAAGTCATAATATTGAATATACATATAATGTTAAATATTAAATTACAGTTCAAACATTAACACATGCTGCATAACCCAAAATTTCATACTCATCTGATCTCAGCCCCTCATATATTAACTTTAACATGACTGTATAGGTCATCTTTTGAACACAAACACTGAAAAAATAAGAAAATGAAAAATTAAATAGCTGTTTGGTTTTTGGTTTTGTTTTCCTTCATTAGAAGGTGCACACATTCTGTCCAAAACAGTATTTCCTCCCTGCTCAGGAGCAGATGACAGCTAATATATTATAGTAGGTACCCCTGCACAGAAGGAAAGCTGAAGAGCCAATGGAAAGATGGAATCCCTTGAGTAGCACAATTAAGGGTGCAAAAAGTTCTAGAATAACTTTTAAGTTTGATGACAGATGACTCCATAACCTGTCAAGACCATACAACAAACATTGGCAATGTGAGCTAATATCTATTTCTGGTATCCAACTAACCACAGAACTCTTGGTAAGACAGAACATCATATTTACAGTGATAGCTCTTTAACTCCTGAGAACAGCTCAATATTTGGTCTTGAGAGTGCTGCCAATCAAATATAAAAAAGGCTGCCTTCAAGACAGCTGGGTACCATTTCTAAAGAGGCTAAAAGAAAACACTGTAAATACTGTTATCAAAATAGATGAGTATGCTCTACACCCTGTGAGAAAAAATATGAAGGAATAATCTTTGCTACAGCCCTTGGCTGAGATTCAAGGAAGAATGATTTGGTGTCTCTGTGTTTGGGTCCATGAAATTTAGTGTTTAGCAGGAAGCAGATATCACCTTTTCTCAAAATTTCAGATCTTTGACCATGGCTCCTCCGATCTGTGAAGAAAGTCTGGCTGCTCCTCAGGAGCACCTCACAGAGACCCCTCTCTGAGAACAGGCAGTCTTTTCATGCCTTTCTACAGTGAGTCCACTGCATTTTTTCAGACTTCCCTCTTTTAGGAAGGAGTGCACAGTGGAGGAAAATACTAGTGGACAGTGCACTCATCTAGAATGTGTAGTGCAAAATGCCCCATTTCTTCTAACAAACACAGAATGCAAGCTGCTATTAATCTGAATATAAGCAAATGCTTCTGAGATAGTTGTTATTAGAGATTTTTATGGTTTGTACATGTTTCCTAATGTGCTGGAGCCAGACAAAAATTCTATGTAAGCATTTAATAGCTCTCATACCTACCTTGTTTGTATAAAATGAAGATATGTCTTGCTAATTGGCATTACTTTCTTTTTAAGTATATCAAATGGGAGCATACCCTTCCTTAATTATTACAAATGAAGCTTCTGTTCATTAAGCATAATATTAATATTTTCCTTTTCTTTTCACTCATTACTTCCTCTCAAATATTTGCCACCTTGAAATTTTGTTCAAGTTATACAGTTTAAAATTACAAGCAATTTTTTGTGTACTTAATGTTCCATATTAAGCAAGTGGAATTTAAATTCTCGTTTCCTTGATGTTCTGTTTTATGTTAAACAAATTGAGGATTATGCATTGATGGTATAAATATACATATAATCACTTCTTTAATTATGCATATGATTGCTGCCTAACTTCGTAATATGTTCCTACAGTTACTGCAGAACTAAAATATTTTAATTTTCAAACTGTTTTTCACAATGTTAATTTGCTTTCATTTCAGGGCTTTCTATTAAATGTATTTAAGAAAAGATTTATAATGGCCTTGATATTCACTTATCTGCATATTAATTGATTTTTTTTTCTGTTTTCTTTAACTTTTTTTTAATGACAATTTTTAACCTCTTCAAAGGATGGAAATGTAATCTAGAAATAGTATTTAATATTTCTTCTGTTCTGTAAATGCTGGAAGAGGGGACTTGCAATGTCATTTTGAGTATTTCTCTGTACCACAGTTAAAAGATTTAATATTAATATAAAAATATACTTGCTACAAAAGCGTCTTCGGATTTTCAAACCCGATGAAGGAGATCACTTAACAGCGCTTGTTCCCTGTCCCATTTGTTTGTCAGTTCTGAACTGAAGCAAGTGTTTGTCACCCAGGAAACCTCAGGCCAGGCAGTACGTGGTGGCAGTGCGTGTGTGAAGTGTCTGTGCACGCCTTGCGCGTGGGCTGGAGCCCGCCTTCGGAGAGCCGCCCCACAGCCCCTCCTGAGGCAGCTGCAGCTGCAGGGGAACGTGGCAGTGGAGCAGGAGGTGTCACAGGGAGGGAAGGCCACCCTGGGAGGGGTGGACGGAGGCAGTGCCAGTTCCTCTGGCTCTCAGCAGTGGAGGGCTTCAGACCCTCCTGCTACGAGGGACTGAACGCTACAGAGAGGAGGTAGGCCTTGCAGCAGAAGGCTTCATGATGGAGCTTGAAACGTGGCATCTCAGCAGATATGATGAGTCTTAATCGATCCTAGCTCAGCTGAGGAGTGCTGGACAACAAATTTTTACCCTGTTAAGACTAGCAAGTGTTAAGCTGAAGGGTGCTGTTAGTCCCAAAAGAAAGAGCTGCCAGTTGGGTAGATAGAAGCATATCCTTCTTGGCTTGTTTTCCCTCTGAAAGATGGCCAGCTGCCAGCTAGGTGGCTGCGAGTGCCCTGGGATGAGATGGCTGAGCTGACATGCCTGCTTGCTGCTGCTGGAAGGGCAGCACTGTGTACCTCCTTCTCTAGGCTGTGCATTTCCCCTGCTTCTTCTTTGTTGCTTGCTGCTTCTCTGACCTCTCTCTGAGCCAATTCAGTTCATTAAACCATGGGTAAACTAACCCAACCAATAAAGGAAATAGCTTTCGGTCGGAATAATGAGTCGGTTTGCTGAGGGGTCAGATACATGCCAGAGATGGAATGCAAGGCAGAGGAGAATGGGACTGCTCCTTTTGGCACCAGAAAGCTGTTAAGCCTGCTCAGCTGTTCCTGGAGCACACACCTCCAACCACAGCCTGACAATGCAGATAAGGCCAATGAAAAGGCTAACCCCTGCTGAAAGGGATGTTCCCACTTCCTTCCTCTCCAGCCTGGCTTTGTGCTTCTCCTGGCACTAATGCTTATTTAATCCTACTACCAGCTAGTTTGGGGAGGAGATTACTGCATTCTTTTGTTTGTTGGGGTGGCTTTCTAACCTGCTTGCTGAGGGGTCAGATGGTGGTAGGAGAGAGGTGGGAGTGCATGGCGGGACTTCTCTTAGCGTGCCAGTTGGCCTTTGAACCGCCTTAACTGCTTTGTTAGGCTGTGATCTGCAGTTCTGTTGGCTAATTATTGGGAGTAGCTATCCCCCAGAGTAAGATGAAAGCAAAGTGTGCAGGCCTGTAGGCTCAGGGAACTTTTTGTCTGTAGGTTGCTGACAACTGATGATGACTTGGATGGTCCTCCAGCCAGGCTGAGGACTTCCAAGTGAAAAAACTGCCAGCTGGGTGACTGAAAGCTGGTAGAAGGAGGTCATGCAGCTGAAATGACAGCTGCTGTAATGGATGAGCGGCTTCATTACCAGCAGCCGTTGTGTGGTAGCAATAACTCATTCAAGTGAAGTATGACTGATTTGTGAAGCTGGCATTACTACAAGTTTGTGTGTGCTCACACGTGATACATGCCTGCAAGAAACCCAATGACCAGAGCCTCAAACTGAGTCTCAGCAGTAATGAAAACTGCAAACACAAGTGACCAATGAAAACTGAGTCTCATCTATGTGGAGCTACCTTTCTAACTTAGAGTTGTTTACAGACTTCTCTTTGGTCAAAACATCTATGTTTAAATTATTTGACTATAAATGGAGAAAAGCCTTGTGCTTGCACTCAAAGATCACACCGAGGCTAGGAACAGTGCTGAGTGTGTTCACACATGCTCTGGTTGAGTTATGCCATAGGCATATATCCACAAAACTTTATATATTATTTTTTCCAGGATACTTCTGTTTTCAGAGCACCTAACTTTTTTTTTCCTGGAGGTCTTTTTTCTCCTCTGATTATGTACTCATAATCCACAATGTTTTCTTTGTTTGTCAGATAGGGCGGACCTAATTTCAGCTACTCATTTTGCTCATGTAAAAACTGGCTAAGTTAAAGAATCAGGTGTGTATAGCACATGGAGTAAAAATGACCTTGAGCTTCTTTTTGTCTCTGACAATTATTTATAAAACAATGTTTGTGAATAATTTCAATGGTGAGTGAGATTTCAGATAACTTGTAGTAAGGCTATTGATTACAATAAGCAGTTCCTTCCCTAGATAAGTTACAGCAGGATAGATAGTTCTCCACACTTAATCTGTGATGACTGGCATTTACAAGGAGAAGCTCAACCTGGTGAGCAGCAGCTCTGTAAAAAT